CACTGGGCTCTCCAGTCCAGGGTTCCAGGGCTGGGAAGAGTAGTCCCCACAACCTCTGGCTGTGAAAACCAGTGGAGATGGTGGCTGGCTGAGACGGAGGGCTGCGGGAGTCACAGACGTTGCTCTGTGTGTGGGCCCGCGTGGACTTACTCACTGACACACTCATGTGCTCCGGGCTCCAGCACTGAGGCGGCCGCTCAAGTCGTGCCAGGGATACACGGGGAGGAACTGGATTGTCTGGCTTCAGTGTGAGGGCTGGAGGGGTGACTTTACCCCAAACAGAAGTGCTGGCAGAGTCCACTGCTCCTTAGCTGAGCCCTCCCGGAGTGCAGACGCTGGCGGCCGCCACACCTGAGTCTCCATCGACCTGGTTCACACAGGTCACTCCACCCTGGCGATTCCGAGACCCTGCATCTCTCCCCTTGGGGGCCTACCCAAGCCATCCCCAGTGGTTTTTTCCATACAAACAGCCTATCTTGGCTCAAGGCTCACAAAATCCAAAGCAGCAGCATCTGGCCTCAGCGTGCCCCATCCTTCTTGCTAATCAGCTCCAAGCCTGGCACTAGGAGCACGCCAGCCTTGGTTCCTGGCTTGGCCTCTCGAGGGCAACATGGGTGGCAGCCATCGGTGGATTGCTTGGATTCCGGGTGGCCCCGGAAGTGCCTAAGCTGTATCCGAACTTGGCCTGCAGAAGGGCTCCTCCAAGGAGGCCCTTAGGCCAGAGCCAGAGCACCACCCAGGGCTGCATCTGAGGAGGACCCACGTGAAGGGCACACACCAAAGCCCTGATAAAGTGAATCCTCCTGCTCAGTAGGGTTGGCCCGTAACGAACCAGTCCTCACAACCAATCAGCCTGGGGGTCAATCCTTCCCATCAATGTGCAGACAGCCACCAGGGTCAACTACAACAGCAGGGCACACACAACCCATATAAGGAGCATATCTGGAGCACCTGTCTCAGGTGACCAGGGAACACTGTGCCACTGAGCCCCACAAGACACCTACTACATAAGGCCATTGTACTGAGACCAGGAGACTTAGGAGCCCTACCTAATACACAGAACCAAACACAAGAAGTCAGCCAAAAGGGGAGACAAACGTGTCCCATAGTAAAAACAGAACAAAGCTCCAGAAAAAGAATTCCAAAAAATGGAGATGAGCAATCTACCAGATGCAGAGTTCAAAACACTGATCATAAGGATGCTCACTGAATTTAAGAGAAGAGTAATCAGTGAGAACTTTAATAAAGAATAAAAAACACAAAAATGGATATAGAAAACATAAAAGGGAACCAGTCAGAAAGTAGTACATAATATCTGAGATGAAGAGTACGTTTGAGGGAGTCAAGAGACTGGATGAAGCAGCGGATCGAATCAGCAATTTAGAGGATGGGGTAACAGAGGACGTCCAATCAGAACAGCAACAAGTAAAAAGAATCCAAAAAACGGGATAGATTAAGGAGCCTCTGGGACAACATCAAGCATAACAACAGTCGCATCATAGAGGTAGCGAAAGGAAAAGAGAGCGCAAGAAATCGAAAACCTATTTGAATAATGACGGAATATTCGAAGAAATAATGACAGAAAACTTCTCTAACCTAGTGAAGAAAAATAGACATATGACACCAGGAAGCTCAGAGAGTTCCAAACAAGATGAACCCAAAGATGCCGAGACTCATTATACAAAATGCCAAAGGTTAAAGACAAAGAGTCCTAAAAGCAGCAACACAAAAGAAATTAGTTACCTACAAGTGAGCTACTATCAGACTGTCAGCTGATCTCTCAACAGAAGTTTTGCAGGCCAGAAGGGATTGTCAGAAAATATTGAAAGTGATGAAAAGCAAGGAAGTAGAACGAAGATGACTCTACCCACTAAACTATCATTTAGAATCAAAGGACAGATAAAGAGCTTCCCAGACGAGAAACAGCTAAGAGTTCACCACCACCAAGCCCTTATTACTAGTAATGTCGGAGGGAGTTATTTAGGAAGAAAAAATATGTATAAAAAATTTGGATAATAAAATGGCAATAACTGCATATCTATCAAGAAGTACTTCCAATGAAAAAGAATTATGCTCTAATCAAAAGACAGAGTAGCTGAAGAGATAAGTAAATAAGTCCCTTATATATGCTGCCTACCAGAGACTCATTTAAGATCAAAAGACACAGAGTGAAAGCAAGGAATGGGAAAAGGTATTTCATAAAAGGACAGTAGAAGAATTGGGCATGGCAATACATATACAGACAAAATAGACTTTAACAAAAAAGCTATAACAAGACAAAGAATCCACTAATCCCAGTTCTGTGTATTTATCTAAACAAACTCAAAATACTACTTTAAAGAAACACTTGCACCCACATGTTCACTGCAGCATTACTTACAATAGCCGAGATAAGGAGGCAACCTGGCTGTACATTCACGGAAGAATGGAGAGAGGTGGCACATATATACACTAGACTATTACCCAGCCATTTAAGAAATCAACCAACCAACCAATCAATCAAATCTTGCCATCTGCAACAACATGAATGGACCTATAGGGTATTGTGCTGACTGGAAAAAGTCTGATAAAGACAAATGCCATGTGATTTATTTACATGTGGAATATAAAGAACAAAATAAAAAGAAAACAAACTTATAGATAACGGAGATGATTCTGAGGGTTTCCTGACAGGAGCAGGGTATAGGGGTGCGAAAAGGGGAAGGGAGTCAGAGTACAAATTGGTAGTTACAAAAGAGCCATGGGGATGCATGGCGTAACGCATGCATTCAGTAGTATTGTG